ACATCAGAATTGCAATTGGAATCAGGAAAATCAGAAAAGCGATGTGGAGTTTCAGAATTTTCACAATTGAAAGGATGTTTTTCATAGATTTTCTGAGCAGGAATCTGGAAGATATATAGTCCATCTTCAAGTTTACCCATTCCAATCGTCTTCCATGTCAAAAAATCCTGGACAAAACAAGACTGATGCAAAAATGTCAGCAAACAATTATGCCTGAGAATTAGTCTGCTGGCTGAAATTAGATTGAAAGTAAAGCAAGGCACCACTGACACTCCAATCAAAACCAATGTATCAGATAACCTGACTTCACCAATATGTGTAGCCTCAACAGTTTCGCCATTAGGTAGTCTAACGGCAACTTTAACTTTATGAGATATAGAAGTTAAATGCAAAACTGAACATACCATATGCTCTGAAGCACCAGTGTCTATAATCCATTTCACCGCATTAGTTTTAATGTCAGAATGCATATGATTACCTGAAAAAGCAAAGGCATCTGGTACAGAGTAACCAGTTTTTGATACATCCTGAGGCTATGACTGAGTTTGTACTCGAGGATTAGCATTACCAGAATTCATTTGTCCTTACAACTGAGGCAGCAGCATTGCAAGAACTTGTTTACACTGATCTGGTGTGATGGTAAGTTTTGAAAAAGGTTCTACCATAGTTTGGGAAGCAACATCAGAAAATTGTCCAACTGCATTGGCTACAACATTTCTATTTCTAGCCAAACAATGTCCAGGGGGATATCCTACAATTTTAAAACACTTTGCCTTAATATGTCCAATCATACCACAGTGACTACATATAGGCTTGTCTCTTCTTTGAGTTTGAATGAATCTGGTACTTATTTGACCTCCATTATATCCTTGGTCAAAAGCAGAGGTCTCAAAATTAGGTTGCCGTTTGGTGATAACTTCTTTCTGCCTTTCATCTTGCAAAATCAACGCAAACACTTTATTCAAAGATGGAAGAGGATCCATTAACAAGATATGGCCTCTTACTCCTGAATAATGTTCATCCAAGCCCATTGGAAATTGCATAACCTGATCTTCTTGGTTATAATCAGATCCACCAATGTCAGGTTTGTAATTATCCAATTTTTCCTATAGTCCTTTGAATCGATTAAAGTAGGAGTTAACTGAACTATTTTCCTATGAAATAGTAGAAAACTACTTCTTTAATTCATAAATTCGAGGTCCATTACCCTGACTATATCGTTCCTTCATCTCAATCCATATCTCCCTGGCTGAATCTTTGTGCATCACACTAGGATAGAGCTCCTTTGGAATGGAATTGATGACCCATGAAGATACTACGTGATTGCATCTTCTTCAAGAGTTATGTAAAGGATCGTCAGATCCAGGCTTCTTGATCGTTCCATCAATGAATCCCTCTTTATTTTTCACGATGAGAGCTATAATGGCAGTATGACTCCATGTCGCATAGTTATCTTCTGCAAGTATAACAGAAATCAGCTGAATTCCTGTGTTATCGCCATAATGCAGGTAATATGGATTATTCGGATCTGTAATTGATCCGCTGATAAATGAGTTCACTTCTTCTCCTATCATTTCTCCAATCGAAGACCCCTGAGGTTCCATCGCAGCAATCTTTATCGCTCTGATACCATGTAAAAATAGATAAAGGGAAGAAGCTGGAGAAGAAGAGTAATTAGCGGGAAAAATTGTTATCCCCAATTTCTATTGAAACTCAATTTTCATATCTATACCGTATACAAAGCTACCGTATTTATAGAAAATAGAATGAAACAAAATGACTAAACTAACCTCTACTATTTACATTATTTACATAGATTCTAACAGAAATCGCTATTCAGAGCCCAACATGACGTCACCAAGCTTCCAATGCATCAAAACAATGTATTATTAACATTCATATCACTTTCAAATACAAACAATGTAGTAAAATATCTTATTAAATCATCATCAACATCAGCTCACCCAGGTTTAATAAGACGATAACATATTATTTTCTTGGCACCATCTTTACAGGATGACGTTTTAGTTTTCATAACAACGAAAAACATTACAAGAACACAACATAAAAATTCATACAGCATTAACTTCCCCCATCAATCTAATTCTTCCGGACAGAATACATAGTAGAATTATGGAAAACAGAGTATAGAATGAATAAAGCTGAAAAAATTTGTACCCCATGGTGACGGAAAGGTGGCGGCTCTTCGGCTATGCGGCGGAATAAAGGGTTTTGGAGTTGTGAACTAATGGAAATTATGATGTAAATAGTTGAGGTCATTTCAGTCATTTTGATTTATTTTCTTTTCTATAAATACTATACATTTTCACAGTTTGAGAAAGGAATTGGGGCAACTAATTTTCCCGCCAATTTGTTCTTCTTCTTCAGTTTTCTCCCTCCATTATTTTTACATGGTATCAGAACATTGAAGCTTGTTGCGATGGTGTCTCAAGCATCTTCAGTTGGAGAATTGATAAGAGAAGAAGCTAATTCAATCAACAGTCGATCGATTACAGATCCGAACAGTCCATACTACCTGCACTGTGGTGATAACACAGGTATGCAACTGATATCTATTGTGCTTGTGAGGATAACTATGCGACATGGAGTCGCGCTATTGTTATGGCTCTCAGCGTGAAAAACAAAGAAAGATTTATTGATGGAACGATCACTGAGCCTGAGTCTGATGATCCGTTACATAGTACCTTGAGAAGATGCAACCACGTGGTGTCTTTGTGGATTATCAATTTCATTCCAAATGAGCTCTATCCTAGTGTGATGCACAAGGATTCAGTTAGAGAAATATGGATTGAGCTGAAGGATCGTTATAGGCAGGGTAATGGAACTCGAATTTATAAGTTGAAGACACAAATTTCTACTATTTCACAGGAGAATAGTTTAGTTAACTCTTACTTCAATCGATTTAAAGGATTGTGGGAGGCCTAACATTAGTGGATCTGATTATAAACAGGAAGATCAAGTTATGCAATTCCTAATGGGCTTGGATGAACATTACTCTGGAGTAAGGAGTCGAATCTTGTTAATGGATCCTCTTCCACTTTTGAATAAAGTGGTTGCACTGATTTTGCAAGATGAAAGGCAAAAGAAGGTTATCACAAAACGGCAACAGAGTTTTAAGACGTCTACCGTTGCCAATAATGTTGGACAATGATCTAATGGAAGTCAAAGGAATATTAGATTCATTCAAAATCAGAGAAAGGATAAGCTTATTTGCAGTCACCGTGGTATTGCTAGACATATTAAGGTAAAGTGTCTCAAAATTGTTGGATATCTTCCTGGACATCGATTTTTTGGAGGCATAAATGTTGTAGCCAATGCTGTTGGACAATCTTCTGATAGTGGTTCACAAACTGTAATGGAGTCTTTTTCAAACCTCACAATCACTCCAGATCAGTGTAAAGAAGTTCTGGTAATGCTGATGCCTCAATTGATAGGGCAAATAACTAATGTTCCTCGAATACAAACTCAGTCACAGCCTCAGGATACATCAAGACCTGGCTATTCTGTACCAATGCTTTCGCATTTTCAGGTAATTACCTTCGTTCTAACATTAAAATTGGTGCAACAAAATGGATTATGGATACTGGTGCTTCAGAACATATGGTATGTTCTACTTGGCATTTTACTTCTATATCTTATAAAGTTAAAGCTGCCGTTAGACTGCCTAATGGTGAAATTGTTGAGGCTACACATGTTGGTGAAGTTAGGTTATCTGATACATTGGTTTTGACTGAAGTGTTAGTGGTACCTTGTTTCACATTCAATTTGATTTCATCCAGCAAATCGACTCTCAGACATAATTATTTTCTGATATTTTTGCATCAATATTGCTATGTCCAGGACCTTTTGACATGGAAGATGATTGGAATGGGCAAACTTGAAAATGGACTGTATGCTTTTCAAATTCCTACTCAGAAAATTCATGAAAAACCTTTATTCAGCTATGAAAAATCTGAAACTCAACATACCGATATCTCTAAAAATAGATTTCCAGTTTTTTCCTAATTCCATTTGCAATTCTGATCTTAGATCAAAGTGTAATAAGTCTAGACAATTTTCTTGTAATTCCATAAGTGATATCAATATGAATTCTGAAATTGATCTATAGCATTGTCGTATGGGACACCTTCCTACTCAAAGCTATCTGTCTTGCATAATCTAGTTCCTACTATCAATTTCAATAAGCACTTACATTGTACAGTATGTCCTATAGCCAAATAGTAGAGATTATCTTTCCCAAGAAAGAGAAAATAGAGCTCTTAAAAGCTTTGATATTATCCGTTGCGACATATGGGGACCTTACTCAGTTCCTTCATTGGATGGCGCTAGATTTTTCTTAACAGTTGTTGATGATCATACTAGAATGACTTGGACCTACTTAATAAGGGATAAGTCTCAAATCAGACCTATAATTCACATTCTTTTTATCAAATGATTCTTACTCATTTTGCCTACAAAATAAAGATTCTCAGATCTGACAATAGATCTGAATTTCATATGAATGACTTTTTTCAATCTAATGGCATTATCCATCAACTGAGTTGTGTTGAAACACATCAACAAAATAGGGTAGTAGAGAGAAAGCATCAGCATCTTTTAAATGTTGCCAGAGTCATCAAATTCCAGGCAAGCTTACCTCATAAATTCTGGGAGAAAACTATCTTTGCTGCTACATATTTAATAAACAGAACAACGACCTTGATTCTTGAAAATAAGACACCTTATGAGATGCAACATCATCATATTCACATCTCAAGGTATTTGAATGCCTCTGCTATGCTTCAAGTATCAAAAGAAACCGTACCAAATTCGACCCTAGAGCCATTCCTTGCGTCTTTCTTGGCTATTCTTACGGCATGAAAGCCTTCAAGTTATATAATCTGCTAACTAATACCGTATTTGCTTCTAGGGTTGTTAAATTTCATGAGATTTTATTTCCATTTCGTCATCCTTTATGATGTCTCTTTGCCCTCTAATTCATCCTTTTTTCCAACACAGAATAATGATTCATCATCATTTGATAATGGCAATTCAACCAATATTAACTCTCCTGTCAATTCCATTCCAAATCCCTCTGATTCCTCTCCAATCGATAGTCATGATTCCATTCCTTCACCCATTCTCACTCATGTAGTTCCTATAGTTCCTATCAGACAATCAAATCGACCTAAAAGAGCTCCAGCCCATCTTCAAGATTATCACTGCAGTCTTGCATCTCAAGTGCCTACGTTCCAATCTAATTCCATGGAGAAAGATCACATGGCTGGTAAACAGTATCCTATTGCTGAATTTCTGGATTATAGCAGGTTATCACCTGCTCACAAAAGGTATTCACTTACCTTATCTACTATATCTGAGCCTAGATCATATGAAGAGGCTGCTAAATGTCCAGAATGGTGTAAGGCTATGGAGGCTGAATATCAGGCTTTGGTGTCTAATAACAATTGGACAGTGACTTCTTTACCTGCACATAAAAAGCTTGTAGCTACAAATGGGTTTTTAAAGTCAAACTCAACTCTGATGGGACTGAGGAAAGAAAAAAGGCTAGGCTTGTTGCTAAAGGATTCACGCAACAAGCTAGACTTGACTATGAAGAGACTTTCTCGCCTATTGCTAAGCTAGTAACTGTGAAGACATTACTGGTAGTGGCTGCTCATAAGTGTTGACACTTCCATCAATTGGACATAAACAATGCTTTCCTCCATGGTGACCTTGATGATGAGGTTTACATGTGGATGCCTAAGGGGTATGAACAGCAGGGAGAGTGTGGTGAACAACTTGTACGCAACTTGAACAAGTCCATTTATGGACTTAGACAGGTGTCTAGAGAATGGAACACCAAGCTCACTTCACACATTATTTCCCAGGGATTTAGACAATCAAAATCTGACTACTCTCTGTTTAGCAAACAAGAAAATGGACCATTTACTGTCTTGCTCATTTATATGGATGATATTATCATAGTAGGCAATAATCTATCATATATTGAACAATTCAAGAGAGAGTTGAATAACCAATTCAAACTGAAAGACTTATGGGTTTTGAAGTTTTTCTGGGGCTGGAAATAGCAAGATCAGCAAAAGGAATATTAGTTAACCAAAGAAAGTATGCTCTGGATGTGTCATCTGATGCATGGTACCTTGGGGTAAAACCTGCCAAATTTCCTTTGCCACAAAATTTAAAACTCAGTAAAGATCAGGGAGAACTCATTGAGGATGCCAGCATATACAGGGGATTGATAGGGAGGATCTTATACCTGACTATAACGAGATCAGATATCTCATATGTTGTACAAGTACTCAGCCAATTCCTTCAATTACCAAGCTTACCATGTTCTTAGATATCTGAAGGGAACACCAGCACAGGGATTGATGTTTGAAAGTAAATCAGACATGATTCATAAAGGGTTCTATGATGCTTATTGGGCAATTGTGTTTTCCTAGGCAATTCATTGGTGTTTTGGAGATCAAAGAAACAGCCTGCTGTCTCCAGATCATCAGTAGAGGCAGAGTACAGATCCATGGCTGTAGCTATATGTGAGTTAAGTTGGCTGAAAAATGTACTTGATGATCTTGGTATCAAACATGATAGAGCTGTTTTATTAGTCTGTGATAGCAAATCTGCAATCCACATAGCCAGCAACCCGATTTTTCATGAGAGAACCAAACGTATAGAAATTGATTGTCACCTTGTGAGAGACAAGGTTCAAGCTGGAGAAGTCAAAATGCTTCATGTTCCATCCCAAGATTAGTTGGCAGATGTTTTGACAAAGGCATTGAGAGGAGTTCGTTTCAAGCATTTGATAGATAAGACGGGAATTTTGAATGTTCATCTCCCATCTTAAGGGGAGTATTGGAAATTATGATGTAAATAGTTGAGGTCATTTTGGTTCATTTTCTTTTCTATAAATACTATACATTTTCACAGTTTGAG